GGGGCCAAGACATGACTTGAAAGACACTGGAATGTTCCCCGAACCAATCCATGACGATTCGACCCTTATGACATGGTGCATTATCCTGTTGGTAAACACCATCCCCTACAGAAAAAACTGTTGCCATGAATGGGTGAACCTGGTCTGCAACTATGTTCAAGTAGCTTACAGACGTCAGGGTTTGTTCTTTGAGGATTATGAGTCCTAATGTGCCCCATGAAAACATTGTTCCTGGGCGAGAAACCATGAAAACCTGGGCGAGCCCATTGTTATATATGGAGGATGGTCATAACGTAATGGCACTACGGCGTATATAGCAAAAAAAATGATGTCTAAGCAAGGAAAATATTAATTAAATACTTTTCATCCCTAACATGTAAAACAAAAAGCGATGATAAAAATCAAGAATCGAATGAGAAATTTCATGAAAAGTCAGATACCGAGCCAACGTTGGGCCTGGTTAGTCAGAAATAGCATTTCGATTATAAATAGGTGTAAATTCGATATAACATAAGTTAATTAAATTTCAACAAATTCTCATTGACATACAAAAAAAAAACTTCAAGTTTAGGGCTTTTTTGAAAAAGTTGAAGAAGTTGCTCGTATTAGCTAACTAAAATTCGATTTTATATTATCCCAAAACGTCACCGACTTTTATAAAATTTCAATTTTCAAATTCAATTTATTCACTTCAAAATATTTTCACTCTGAGCAAATACATTGCTCCAGCGAAACTTACTTACGATAACAACTCAAGAATGAAAGGGGAAAAAAATGTATCTTTTTAAGAAAATAAAATAAAATATGTTTCGGTAGTAAAAATCACCAAAAATCATGAATACCACCCGGTTTTCGCTCTGAGATGATTTACACACTGTTATGAAAACCGTATTTACTCACTTTGGCGAGTTGGTGTTTCTTTCGGAAGACTAAATTCTTTCTCCGAGAGAAGTTCTAAATCTAAGCCTTTTTCAGTTATGTAGTCACCCTTTTGTATATTTACTTTTTTGTACTAGCGCTACTAAAATATCTCTTTTGGGAGAGGAAAGAATTTTTTTCTTTTGATCACGTGATGATTTCCAGGCGCAGAATTTCGGAATCTCCTTCATTCAAGCAGTTAGAAAATTGGCGAAAGGAAAAAAAAGTGCTTTATTCCGTTGAGACCGGCGTCAAAAGTTCTGCCCTCCATTGTAGCGTGGATAGATTATGTTAGAAATACATTTCATGGATGAGAACATATGTTGATAATGGAATCAAAATGTTTCGCCAAGCGTTTTTCAAAAATCTCGAGATGTTTGTATTTGACTAATGGAATTCTAAATATAAATTTTTCCCTATGCAAGGGAAAATTGGCAGCCTTTGGCCGTTAGTGTAGAAAGTGAGAATAAAGCTATGAGGACAATTACGAACATTTGTGCCTTATTTAATAACAAAATAAACAGTTGTATTAATAATATATACAGAATAACACTCCATTTTCTCGTAATTTTTACTTATATATTACAACTTATTTTATCAATGTGTTATTATTTATTTTAAAAATAGAATAAAATGTTTAAACAATTACGCATTTTTGAATCACTTGGAGCACATAAGAGACACAAGTAATTAAGGATGTGTTTTTTTAAAAATATTTAATAGATATTTTGATAAAAGCTAGTCAAAAACAATCGCAAAAAAAAATATTAATATATATCACATGTACTATTATATTTACAAATATTTAACTAGTAAATATTATTTTATAAATATTTCATAAAAATATTTATTAATATTTTTAAATATTTGGTCACACAGAAAGAATTCGCAAAAATATCAATTCATTTAATGTGGTGTGTTTAGCATGTGGTGCGGGTAGTGTGTGTATAATATTCAACAATATTCATATATTGAAGGTATTTTCGTATCATTAATATTATTATTTCTTTATTATTTTGTTTAATAATGATCAAAAATCCACTGTAGTGTAAAGATACAAATTTTTATATAATTTGAAACTGCGTAATTTGTAAATGACAAAAACCTTCATTTTTAATAAAATCAGTCAGATAATTTTTTCTTTGTAGTAAAATTATAAATAAAAATCGTATTGTCTTAAATATTATAACTAAATTGTATTCTTTTAATTATTATAAATAAATTGTGCAGTTGCTTATTATGACTAACCCGTTAAAACAAGTAATTACGATTATGTCGATTATCCCTCTAATTTTATTGATAATACGTCTGATCCTTGAATGAAACACGTAATTATACATCTAATCCTTGAATGAAACTCGTAATTACACGTCTAATCCTTGAAAGGAAAAAAATAATTATACGTCTAATCTTCGAATGACGCTTGTAATCCTTTAATAATTTGCATCAATACAGAAAAATATGATACTTAGTTCAAAAATTATTCAAAGTGTTACGTTTTATTAAGCCAACTGCAATAGCTTTTTCCAAAATTTTTTTGACAACACATATTTAAGTAATATTTAAACTACTTAATATTGTATCGTAAAACACTTTGATTTCTCAAATTATTTCCAGTAAAATATTGATACTATGATTAAGTTTTAAAATTTGCCGTAACATATTTCTATAAGTGTCTAATAAAATATAGTAAGATATATTAGTTTGGTATAAAAGGAAAGGAAAAATCTTTTAAGCTTTCAAAGGAAAGATACGTTGTATTCTGCGAAGAAAATATAATTTTTAAGATGCTTCATGACATTTCTTTTCTGGACCATTAAAATGAATGAAAGAAAGAGTACATTTTTGATCGCAAAACATTTTTTGAATGAAGCATTTATTGCTAGCAATTTTTCAACAATTTAGAAGCTAATGCTCATCGTTACAGAATTAAAAAGAATATATTTCTAAAACTGTTGAAATTGCTTTGTAGTTTTTTTTTAAATGAATCATATTTTGTCGACAGTTTAGTAGCTCCATAAATTTGAGCAGTACTAAAAATAAATATAAAAAACTCAAAACTTCACAAGTCTTTTATTTCTTTCATTTCTTCATCTATTTTTTTACTGCTGTTGAAAATAGTTTATTTTATAAAATTTATTTGAGGGTAATGACATTATTGCTTTTGTCTGTTAGTATCTATATTATTGTGTGTTTGTTAGTATTGTGTGTCTACATTAAATGAAGTAATTGACACCTTTGCCGATTCTCTTTACGTCTCAGCATTAAATGAAGTAATTGGTCTCTTCCTATGTATGTCTGTCTATATTAAAGGAGGTAATTGATGTCTTAGACTATTCTTCTGTATATCCACATTAAATGAATTGACACATTTGTCTAAGCCCTTTATTTATCTGCATTAAATGAAGTAACTGACCTCTGTGCTGATTCTTTTGTGTGTCCACATTAAATGAAGTAATTTTTTTACCTTTGCCGATACACTATATGTTTCTAAATAAAATAAGTAATTGTTGCATTTGCCGATATTTTAGAGACATCTCACTGTGTTGCTTTTTCATTCAGATTTAACAACTGTATGTTTAAGAATTTCAATTTTGTAAGAGTTTTAAGAAAAATGCAATATTATAAAAAATATATTATACAGTAGAAAGCAATGGTACACACAAAAAAATAATGATTAACTAGTGTTAAATTTCAATGAGTAAACTTTAAAACAAAAGATTATTTAAAAACATTCTTTTGTGACAGTATTGGACAACACTACAAAAAAAGAATGAGGTTAATACAAAGAAATATTTATAAAGACATTATATAAATTACAAAAAAGTACTTAATATAAATGACAAAAAAGTACTTAACATAAATTACAAAGCTGTAACGAAAGGGGATCCATGGATCAAAACGTGACAATTCCCAATTTAAAACTTATTAATTGAATTAAACAAATTACATTTCATTTCAATAATAATTTCTAAATATTATTAGTTAAAAAATCAACTTAGGTATGGAAATACATTTAATGTTGTAATTAAAACAAGAGATATTACATATTTTTTAAATATCATTCATTTTACCGTTTTATTATTGCAATGGAAAAGTAAATGATAAATAGAAAAGGTAGTTTTCCTTATTGATTCCAAATTTTTTCTTCTCAAAGTCTTGTGTAATCATCCATATTTTCCTCAAAATTAAAAAAAATTATTATTTTCTACATTCATTAAATGTCTAAATTTTCTCAAAGTTTCATAATATC